TATATAATATATAATAGTTATTATATATATATACAATAGTTATTTTATATATATATATATATATATATACTATAATCTATCAAATTCAGTATTGATAAATATGTAATATTTTGATATTATGGTCCTATGGTCTGAGTAGTATGTCCTCCCAAATTCTGGCATTGAAAACTTGATCCCAAATAGTGTTGGAAAGTGTCAACTATGGAGAAATGTTTACATGGTGAAGGCTTCCACTCTCATGAATTGACTAAAGCTGCTATAAAAAAGGGCTTGCAGGTGAACAATAATACTTTTCTGCCTTTCTGTCATGTGAGAACAGGCATTCCTTCTCTCTAGAGGATACAACTTTCAAGGCACCATCTTGGAAGCAGAGATTGAGCCCTAGTCTACTAATTCCTTGATCTTGAACTTCTCAGCCTCCAGAACTGTGAGAAATACATTTCTGTTTTTATAAATTACCATAAATTACCCAGCCTGTGATATTTTGTTAGGACAGCACAAAACAGACCAACATATATGGTAATATGATTTGAAAGTTGAAGAAACTAATGCCCAAATAGAGAAAAATACCTAAATCTAGTCACATAGGCAATTAAGATTAGAGGTAGGGCAAGAAATTCATATCCCAATTTTCCATGTCACCATACTGACTCACTCTTCTCCTCAAGTAAAGAAAGCTAAGGCCAAAGGGAGGTGAGGAGAGGAAATTTTTCCTTTGCTCTATTTCTTATTTAATGCAGAGGAGATTTTGTTCTATTATAGAACAGTTGGGAGTAGATGCTCCTTGCTGTGAAGTAGTTACCTCCCTGTTTACCATACTGTAAACGTCTGGCTACAGAATATATTTCTTGTTTTCTCCAATTAGTTGCCCTAGCACATATATAATCTCAGAACATCCTAATATTCTAACATTTAATATCCCTTTGGATATAATAAAACAATTGCAAGTGATTATTTTTATCTGTTGAAAACAGTAAAGCTCACCAAGGTAAGCAATGCATAAACACTTCAGGAATAATAAGCTTTGACTTTTAAAAACTGTTCCTAAGAGTACAAACAGCTTTTTGTCTTCTGTATAAAATGAAAAAGAAGGGATAAATTGGAAGTGCAACTATAAAATGCAAAAATACATTCACATTAGAAATGCAGTTAATAATGTGAATAGTGTGTCCAAACAATATCAATATATAATCTAAAATAAAAATTATTATTTTGTTTCTGACTATATTTATGCTTTGTTAAATCTACTCACCCAGCAATAAAAAAGAATTAAACCAATGTAATAATTTTGAAATCATAGGGTAGAAAATATTAATTTTTGAAATGTGCATTTAATGCTTGAAAAAATATATAATAGAACTCTCTAGTTGTCCATAACTGGACTTGCTAATACCAAACAGTCATGAGCACAAAGAGTATGTGCTATGTACTGAATTGTTCCTCCAACTCTACCGTTCATACATTGAACCCCTGACTCCCACTGTGATGATATTTGGAGATAAGACCTTTGGGAGATGATGAGAGTTTAGATGAGGCCATGAGGTAAAGCCCTTATGATAGGATTAGTATCTTTAGAGGGCTTGCATGATCTCTCTGTTTCTCTCTTCTCTCTCTCTTTCTCTCTCTTCTCTCCCTTTCTCTCTCTCCCTAAGTGTATGCACAAAGGAAAGACCACATGAACACCTAATGAAAAGATGGCCACCTGCAAGCCAGGAAGAGAGCCCTCACCACAGTCCAATCACTCTGGCACCCCAATCTCAGACTTCCAACCTCCAGAACTGTGACAAATAAGCTTTAGTTCTTTAAGCCACCCAGTCTATGTTATTTTGTTATTATAGCCTGAGCAGATAAACATAGTGTATAAATAGTTACATATTTAATAGCCCAAGGAAACGTGCATCCCTTGTGCAGGAGTTTTGTTTTTTCCTGGGTATTATCTGTAAGTAGATGTTTTTTCTATAACATACCATTTCATTGGGAACTATACATTTAATATAATATCCCTAGAGCAGTGATTCTAACCTGGGGGCAATTTTGCCCCCATGGGACATTTGGCAATGTCTAGAGGTGCTACTGGAATCTAGCAAGGAGAGGGTAGGGATGCTGCTAAACATCTTACAATTCATAGCACAGACACTTAAAACAAAATGCCAGTAGTACTACTGTTGAGAAACTATGCTCTAAAAATAAATGACTAAAAAACTTGTACTTAAATGACTAAAACACTTGTTAAGCCAGGCGTGGTGGCTCATACCTGTAGTCCCAGCACTCTGGGAAGCTGAGGTTGGCAGAGTATTTGAGGTAAGGCGTTCAAGACCAGCCTAGCCAACATGGTGAAACCTTGTCTCTACTAAAAATACAAAAATTAGCCAGGCATGATGGCATGTGCCTGTGGTCCCAGCTTCTCGGGAGGCTGATGCAGGAGAACTGCTTGAACCCTGGAGGTGGAGGTTGCACAGTGAGCTGAGATCGTGCCACAGCTCTCCAGCCTGGATGACAGAGCAAGACTCTGTCTCAAAAAAAAAAAAAAAAAAAAAAGAAAAAGAAAAAAATATTTCTTTTGTTCTAGTCCCATTCTATCCCTGAGTTTTTATAACTCTTCTAACTATTGATGAGGCTAAGAAACTAAAAAATATAAATAATCAAAAAATTTAAAACATTCTTAATTATTAATTGGATATAAAGCCTTTTGGGCATAATTACATCTAATTTTATTCTACAATGTACATGTAGATACAATTGCTTGTGATAATAATATTGGTCAAGAAATCAGAAACCCATGAGAAACAATAGAAAACTGAATAAGTTCTAAATTATTGCAGATTTATGAAATTGTAGTATATAATAGGGTACAGCTGAACTGGTTTCTAAAATTCTTTGAAACGTTCAAATTTAAGTAAATAAAGCATAAATGTAAAATTTAACTTCCACCATAACAAAATGTCACAAGTTATTAACACCAGAACAAGAAATAGAAGGATCAAAATTTTCCATGGATGCAAGGGGTTTGTATTGGCCTATGTAATTGGCATTCCTCATCCATGCTCCAAATTCAGTTTGAATGATGCCTTTTTTTTTGTCCAACAACGTTTCCTCTGAGTAAAATTCTTGAATCATCAATTACACACTTCCCTCTTAGCTACAGTCCTTAACTAATAAAATAAACTATATTTTCAAAAGTTAACATTTTTTCCTGAAATATTCAAGATGATTATGAAAACTATGGTAGCACAAAATAAAATGCTGCTTGATTGTTACCTGAGAAATTTTAGAAAATAAGTAGCCAATCTGAGTAATTCAAGTATAAAGAAAAGAAAAGAAAAAAGAAAAGAAAAAGAAAAAAAGAAAAAAAAAAACACATATAGGATGTTTTTAGAGAAAGGTGTACTAATTTCTTTAATTATAACTATAAAGTACTGTCTTTGGAGGTAATCACTTTATTTTTTCATTTAATTCAGCAAGTAAAGGTCTGATTTCTTGTTTATTAATGTTTTAAACTGATAATAAGTAATACTGAGAAAAAAATGAATACACTTTCTGAGTTAATTATCCAAATCTAAAATAAGCACTTTCTGACAAAATAATGGATACACTGTTATGTTAAAATTGATTATTTTATCCATCATGCAATAAATATCTATATGTGATACTTAGTCAGCTCAAAGATTTTTTTGTACATCACATAAAAAAGTGTTGTTACATAATATGTACCTAGAGGGCTATATTTAAATACAGAAATATTTTCATTATGTATTCATAATACATAAAGTTGATACAATATGTTACTTATAGGTTTATAAAAGGTTATTTCAGTAATATGACACATGTTCATTTTGTCTGTGATACTATTGCTATTCTAAGTACTAAGTTTATAAGTCTTCTAAACCCACAATAACATGTTCATGGGACCAATGACCAGCATCAGTTCAATCATAGAACACTTTAAATAAAGGTCAAGTTTCAGGGAAAAACATTCTCAGTTGTTAAGAGTTTATAAAATATGCTCTGAGTTTCTCTATATCTCACTAATATGTTAGAAGTCCTCAGAAGCTTGATGGCCTATGAAGTCTGTTATTTAGTTGTATTCAATAATTATATAATACACAATTGTGAGTCTGAAATAATAACTAAAAGTATGTTGAGAAGGATTTGATTTTTGATCTTAATAATGAGTCAGGGTCTCTTTCATAGTATAGTTATCTCTTTAATCTACTGTTAGTGTAAAAATGATGATTTAAAAAATATTTCTTCTTATTTTTTCTATTTAATTCTTGTTTTAGAGTACTATCTTTTTAAATTTATATCCAGAGAGCACATTTTATTGCAAAATACTGTTAATATTCCCAGATAAATAGAAAACACATACTTAGAAAAAATAACACCCACTGTTGTCTGTTATCTACCAAATGTATTTTTATATCTTGAAGGTATAATTCTGTACTTTCTTTTATAACACATTAAAAGCCACATTCTAAAAACATGAACTATATACATTTCATATTTTTGTATAACTTTTACACAATTTGGGAATTATAATATAAATTAACGAAAAGCCTCATTAGGTTAATGTAATTTTGATAGCTTTATAAAAATAAAAAGTAAAATCTGGTTTTGTTTGCTAGATTGTTGATTTTCCTTTATATTATAGATCTGTATCTTTAGGTATAGCAGTTTGGAGTTAAATCATGCACTTTACAAAAAAACAATGTGGCCTAAGCTTTCAAGATTTCTGATACATACAACTGAAATACTTAATCTTGGTTCAGTGATATGTTTCTGGAATAATATACATTTCCACATAAAATAAAACATTCTTTCTATTCTTTAGATTGTCAAAGATCTACAATTTTCATGACAGGATTATAAAAACTGATCATCAGATTGAAACAGTGGAAGTATTTATTAATAATTAATGCTATTGGTATTAATAAATAAGGGTTTGGAACAAATCACCTTGCAAGGAAAGCACACTTTGTGGGACAAGTATTGTTATCACTTACCAGCTCTTCCTGAAGTTGGGAAATGAATTCATCTTTCTCTTTCAGCTGCAGCTTGAGCATTGAGCATTCATCTTTCATTATATCCTATAAAAACATCAAAGAGATGGCAAAATAGGCTTAGCCTTTTTACTTTGCTCTTGATAAGGAAAGTCGGCTTCACACAGTGGGAGATAATTGCATCTGACTAATGAAACTCAAATTCTCTCTACAGTATGATATTTTTCATAATATATTCTTAGCTGTAAAAAATAAGTTAAATGCATCCAAAAATGCTATCATGCTATATATAATCACATAAGTACACACACACACACACACACACACACACACACACACACACACACACACACGTTTTTGCTTAGTTTTGGGGTTTCTTTTTGGTATACCTCTATCCATTTATTTGCCTAGGACAGAAACCAGGAATCTATCCTAAATTATTCCCTCACTTTTGTGCATATATAATAAGTAGAATAAAAATAACTCTACATTTAAAAAGATACTGACATGGCTTGGCTCTGTATCCCCACCCAAATCTCATCTCAAATTGTAATCCCCACATATGGAGGGAGGGACCGGTAGGAGGTAACTGGATCATGGGGATGATTTCCCTTAGCTATTCTCATGTTAGTGAGAAAGCTCTCATGAGATCTGATTGTTTAAAAGTGGCAGTTTCCCCTGAGCACTCTCTCACTCCTGCCACCTTGTGAGGACATGCCTTACTTCCCCTTAGCCTTCCACCATGATTATAAGTTTCCTGAGGCCTCCCCAGCAATACGAAACTATGAGTTAATTAAACTATTTTCCTGTATAAATTACTCAGTCTAAGATTATTCTTTATCACAATGTGAGAAGGGACTAATATAGACAATTGGTGCTTGAAGTGGGACACTACTATAAAGAAAACCTGCAAATGTGGGAGTGACTTTGGAACTGGGTAATGGGCAGAAATTGGAACAGTTTGGAGGACTCAGAAGAAGACAGAGAGATGTGGGAAAGTTTGGAGCTTCCTCGAAACTTGAATGGTTTTGATCAAGATGCTGATGGTGATATGGACAACAAAGTCCAGGCTGAGGTGGTCTCAGATGAAGATAAGAAACTTCTTGGGAACTGGAGTAAAGGTCACTATTGCTACACTTTAGCAAAGAGATTGGTGGCATTTTGCCACTGCCCTAGAGATCTGTGAAACTTTGAACTTCAGAGACATGATTTAGGGTATCTGGTGGAAGAAATTTCTAAGCAGCTAAGTATTCAAGGGATAACCTGGCTGATTCTGAACGCATTCAGTCATATGCATTCAAAAAGACATTATTTGAAACAGGTACTTTTATTTAAAAGGGAAGCAGAGCATAAAAGTTTGAAAACTTTGCAGCATGACCATGTGGTAGAAAAGAAAATCCCATTTTCTGGGGAAAAATTCAAGCTGACTGCAGAAAATTGCTTAAGTAATAAAGAGCCAAATGTTAGTAACTAAAAAAATGGTGAAAATGTAGCCGGGCGCGGTGGCTCAAGCCTGTAATCCCAGCACTTTGGGAGGCCGAGGCGGGTGGATCACAAGGTCGAGAGATCGAGACCAACCTGGTCAACATGGTGAAACCCCGTCTCTACTAAAAATACAAAAAATTAGCTGGGCATGGTGGCACGTGCCTATAATCCCAGCTACTCAGGAGGCTGAGGCAGGAGAATTGCCTGAACCCAGGAGGCGGAGGTTGCAGTGAGCCGAGATCGCGCCATTGCACTCCAGCCTGGGTAACAAGAGTGAAACTCCGTCTCAAAAAAAAAAAAAAAAAAAAAAATGGTGAAAATGTCTCCAGGGCATTTCAGAGATATTCACAGCAGCCTTTCCCATCACAGGACTGCAGCCTCTCCCAAAAAGGACAGCAGCCTCTCCCATGATAGGACAGGAAGCATATGAGAAAAAAAAAATGGTTTTGTGGTCTGGGTCCAGGGCCCTGCTGCTCTGTGTAGCCTTGGTGCATGGCAGCCCGCATCCCAGCTGCTAACAGGGGCCAGTGTACAACCCAGGTCTTTGTTCAGAGGCTATAAGCCCCAAGCATTGTTGGCTTACATGTGGTGTTGGGCCTGTGGGAGCACAGAAAAAAGAGTTAAGATTTGGGAACCTCTGCCTAGATTTCAGAGAATGTATGGAAATGTCTGGATGTCCAGGCAGAAGTCTGCTGCAGGGGTAGAGCCCTTATGGAGAACTTCTGCTAGGGCAGTGTGAAAGGGAAATGTGGGGTTGGAGCCCCCACACAGAGTTCTCATTGGGGCACTGCCTAGTGAAGCTGTGAAAAGAAGGTCAATGGCCTCCAGACCCCAGAATCATAGATCCACCAACAGCTTGCACCATGTGCCTGGAAAAGCCACAGGCACTGTATTAGACTGTTTTCATGCTGCTGAAAAAGACATACCTGAAACTGGGAATAAAAAGAAGTTAAATTGAACCTACAGTTTCACATGGTAAGGGAGGCCTCAGAATCATGGCGGGAGGTGCAAGGCACTTCTTACATGGCAGCAGTAAGAGAAAATGAGGAAGAAGCAAAAGTGGAAACCCCTGATAAACCCATTAGGTCTTGTAAAATTTATTTCCTATCATGAGAATAGCATGGGAAAGATCAGCCCCCATGATTCAATTTACCTCCCCCTGGGTCCTGCCCACACATACGTGGGAATTCTGAGAGATACAATTCAAGTTGAGTTTTGGGTAGGGACACAGCCAAACTACATTAGGCACTCAACACGAGGCTGTGAAAGCAGCCACAGGGGATACACCCCACAGAGCCACAGGGGTGGAGCTACCTAAGGCCATGGGAGTCCACCCCTTGCATCAGTATTCCCTGGATGTGAGACACAGAGTCAAACGAGATTTTGGAGCTTTAAGATTTAATGACCGCTCCACCAGATTTTGGACTCCCATGGGGCCTGTGACCCCTTTGTTTTGGTCGATTCCTCCCATTTGGAATAAGAACATTTATCCAATGCCTGTACCTCCATTGTATCTTGGAAGTAAGTAACTTGCTTTTGATTTTACAGACTCATAGGTGAGAGAGACCTGCCTTATCTCAGATGAGACTTTGTACTTTGACTTTTGAGCTAATGCTGTAATGAGTTAAGACTTTGGGAAACTTCCATGAAGGCAAGATTAGTATTTAAATGTGAAAAGAACGGGAAATTTGGGCGGAGCCAAGGGTGGAATGAAATGGTTTGTCTCTTTGACCTCACGTAAATCTTATCTTGAATTGTAATTCCCATGTATCACAAGAGGGACATGGTGGGAGGTAACTGGATCATAGGCATGGTTTCCCCATGCTGTTCCGGTAATAGTGAGGGAGTTCTCACGAGATCTGATGGCTTAGACGTGGCAGTTTCCCCTAAGCTCTCTCTCTTTCCTGCTGCTTTGTGAAGAAGTGCCTTGCTTTCCTTCAGCCATGATTTTAAGTTTCCTTAGGCCTTCCCAGTCATGCAGAATTGTAAGTCAATTAAACTTCTTTGTTTCATATATTACCCACTCTCAGGTTGTTCTTTATAGTGATATGAAAATGGACTAATACAGATACTATATCTACCATTTGTTCCCTGGCTATAATTAAATTAATTGTCAAACCAATATCCATATTACAGAGCTCATCTTTAATGATGTCCCTGTTAAAATTGTGCCTTTTACTAGAGCTCAATCGTTGGGCATTTAATCTCCTCACTCTGCATGTACACCCAACCATAACCTCTATGTACACAATATATCCACATCCATGGCCTCAACTACTCTATGCTGGTGTGATGGATAATACTGAGGGTCAGCTTTATCGGATTAAAGGATACAAAGTATTGATTCAGGGTGTGTCTGTGAGGCTGTTGCCTAAGGAGATTAACATTTGAGTCAGTGGGCTGGGAAAGGCAGACACACCATTAATCTGTGTGGGTACAATCTAATCAGCTGCCAACGTGGCTAGAATATAAGCAGACAGAAAAATCTGAAAAGAGAGACTTGCCCAGCCTCCCAGCCTACTCCTGGGTTGGATGCTTGAACTGGATTCCAAGTTCTTCAGTTTTGGAATTCAGACTGGCTATCCTTGCTTCTCAGCCTGCAGATGCCCTATTGTGGCACCTTGTGATCATGTGAGTTAATACTTAATAAATTCCCATATATATATATATATATATATATATATTCCGTGAGTTTTATCCTTCTAAAGAACCCCTGACTAATACAGCTTGTAACTACCAGATACAACTAGTTAATCCAGAATTATCTGTATTCCAAGTTCCAGCTCTTAAGTACAACTACTCACTAAACATATACTCAACACTGTTCCACAGACACTCCAACTCAACATCTTCCTTCCCCACCTTGAGATGTCACTTCTGTTGATTTCCCCATTATCTTCCTATTTCCTAAAATAATAATAAGGAAGCCATCATATATGTTCAGCTGCTACTCACTTTAAACCAAATTTGAAATCAAATTTAATCTCTACTTCTTTAGTATTTCTTGGACTTACTACTCTCTATTCCACATTGTCTAAGTACTTGTTGTTTCTTACCTAAATTTCTGTAATTGCTTCTTGTCTCTAAAGTGATTTTTCCTCTATCACTATCACTTTCCCTACTTGTCAGAGAGATTTTTCTTAGTAGGAATTAAATTTATCACTTCCTAATTTAACAGTGAATCATCTCCTCCTTCAGAAAGAAAATCAAAACTCTTCAACATAGCATATTGTACCCCTGATTATCTGTTACCTGCTTATTTCCGGAGCTGCAAAGTTTTTGACTTTCAACCTCCTCACAACATTGTTCACTCTTACAAAACTGAAATGCATGTTGTTTCACATCTCCTCACTTTACACATGCAAATTTCTGGATTTTATTGCCTTCTATCCATTGTATCCTTCTCTCCTTCATAATAACTCATGCTCTAAGACACATCTCAAGAATTACTGTTTATTTTACCAGAAAGATACCCCCTTTTGGCTAGTAACACATCCCTTTGGGGATGTTACATAGCATCCATACCACATATCATTTCATGCAACACTTAAAGTGTTTTTTTTTGCTTTTTCTCCAGCCTCATGAACTAGTTTTATTCTCTA